GAACAAGGAGGCCCCGCCTTTATTGCTTTTCATAAACACAAACGTAACCTTCCGCTCTACAAAGTAGTGCCAAACATAAATACAATAGTGGCAAGCATCATACTCAACACCCCCACTTGATGGCGCCACAGATTTCAGCCATAACACTTTTCTCCAAACATATAACAACAAAACTTTTCAATCTTGGCTCTTGTGGCAGATTTAGTGAACACATCTGCGACCATGTTTTCTGTTGGACAATAAGCCAAAACAATTTTACCATGCAAAACTTTTGACCTTATGAAGTGATATTTAATGTCCACATGCTTGCTCCTCTGGCGATTCACAGGGTTCGTAGCAAGTCGTATTGTCCCTTGGTTGTCTTCAAACACCTTTACAGTTTGCTCAAAACTGTGGTCCATGTCCTTTAGTAGTTGGGATAGATAGAGCGCTTCTTGGATGGTAGCAGCTAATGCTACATACTCAGCTTCACATGTTGATAATGAAACTGTTTGCTGTTTCTTTGTTTTCCATGAAATAACAGCTCCACTTGAACTCAGACTAAAACAGTAGCCTGTAGTGCTCTTTCTGTCAAGAACATCGTTGGCCCAGTCGGCATCAGAGTACCCTATCAGCTTTAGTTCAGTGTCACTCTTTATATAACACAACTCATAGTTCTTAGTCCCTTGTAAGTATCTGTACACATGTTTTAGAGCTGTCATATGTTTCTCTCTAGGATCAGACATATGTTGCGACAGTTTGCTCACAATCCAGCTTATATCAGGCCTGGTACAGGTCATGATGTAGATGAGGCTGCCCAGCATTTCTCTGTATTTTCATGCGTCAGTTTGTTCACCATCTGGAACCAGATCACATTTGATTTCACTAGGAGTGGCTCTAGGTTTACACTCAGCCATACCAAACCTTTCCAGTATCTTCTCAATATATTTGGACTGTTTCATTTTGATAAAGCCTTCTTTTTGTAGGAAATTGATCCCGATAAAATGTGTGAGATGGCCAAGATCTTTCATTTTAAACTTTCTTTTCAGTTTCTCTTTGACCTCTCTTAAACACATTTCATTGCTGGCAGCCACAACTATATCATCAACCCACACTAATAAAATCACTTTTCCTTTGTCAGAAAAATTAGTGTAGATACAATGGTCAGCTTGGCTCTGTACAAACTCATTCAATATCAGAAACTCATGGAGCATCATATTCCAGTTCCTCCCAGATTGTTTGAGTCCATAGATAGATTTGTTCAACTTACACAGAAGTCGCACACCATTCTGTGATTCCACCTGGAAACCTTCGGGTTGATCCATGTATATTTCATGGTCAATGGGTGCATGTAAGTATGCCGCTTTAACGTCCATCTGGTTCAGTGTAAGGTCATGTTGTGCAGCTAATTGCATCAACACACGTAGTGACGTCAAGTTGGCAGTCGGAGAGAATGTCTCTGAATAGTCAAGTCCTTCTACCTGGCTGTATCCCTTCGCTACATATCTAGCTTTATATGTCTCATTCCCTTTATCATCTTCCTTGAGGGCATATACCCACCTTCCCCCCACTGTCTGTCTACCCTCTGGTAATGGTACAAGTGAGAAGGTGTTGTTTTCTTTAAATGAAGTCATTTCTTCTTTCATTGCATTTTTCCACATATTACATTTTGGTGATTCCAAAGCTTCTTTATAGGTCTGTGGTAACCCAACTGTAACTCTGTAACAGTAGTCAATGGTTAAGTCCCTGTTCTGTACTGTACATTCATAGTCCTCCAAGTACTTAGGTTTCTTTCTGACTCTACCTGTAGTACGTGTAGTCTGTGTGTCAGTAGTTGGTCCTGTGTCCATTTCTGATTCTTTCTCAATGTCTGTGTCCATCTGTCCTGTTGCTCCAGTCAGTGGTTGACTGTTTTCAATAGGTGTATTTACCCACTCTATGTAGTTGTCCTCCGGTTGGTCCCAGTCAGTCTGTGTCTGCCCCTCAGCCACATTCTTTTCCATAAAGTGGACCAGTCTGTGTTTCTGAACCTTTTTCGTCTATGGAAAATAAACCAAACAAGCAGGTGAATGACGATCAAAACCAACAAAAATTCCCATTTTGCCTTTAGGATCAAGCTTCTTTCTGTTTTGCTCATACACCATACATTCAGAACCAAACTTTTTCATCTTTGACAGATCTGGCCTCTTTCTGGTGAGAAGAAAATAAGGTGTTTCGCCGGTTCTCTTACAGTAGCACCTGTTCCTTATGACTATAGCTGTCCTGGCGGCATAAGGCCACAGCACTTTGGGTAAACCTGACTCAATCAGCATGCATCGGACCATTTCAAATAGTGTGCGCCAATTCCTCTCTGCAGTCCCATTTTGGTGGGGAGAGTATGGGGCTGTCCTCTCATGTTTGATAGCATTGTCCCTCAACAATGACTGGTACTCCTCTGACACAAATTCTGTCCCGTTGTCAGATCTGAGGCGTTTTACTTTACCGTAAGGAGCCGTGTCTGCAAAGAACTGCTTAGTTGCCTCAACTGCCTTGTTTTTGTTCCTAAGAAAATACACATAAGTAGCCCCAGAAAAGTCATCGGTGAAAGTGATGGCGTGAAATAGGTCCACCCAGGTCTGTATGAACTAGCTCTAATGGCTCTATGGCCCTCACATCACTCTGCCTGTTTCTGCTTTGTGAAAATTTTCCCTGTAGACAAATTTCACATTGGTTGGGTTTGAAGGTCTTGTCTTTGATTTTCATACCATTTACAACTGTTTCAAGTTTTACAATATCATCATAGTTGCATTGACCCATTATCTCATGCCATGTTTTTAGATCCAAAGATACATTGCAGGAGTCCTCACCATTTACATTATCCTCTGTGATAACGTCTAAGTAGTACAATCTGTCTTTTACCTTCATTTTACACATTGTTCCATCAGGAAGGATCATTTTGTTGTTGTTCTTCTCAAAGTTGAATCTTGCTCCTTTTGAAGTTGCTGCATCCACCGATAAGATGTTTTGTGGGTATCCTGGAATCAGGAGTGCACCTGTGAGTTTGACACTCACTATTTCCCCGTCGCAGTCGGTCAGCTTAATCTGTGCATCTCCTTTCCTCAGGACACTGCCGGTGATCCGGGTCCCGTCCGCCAGCTGCATGATGTGGTTCTTGGGCTGGAAAGTCTCATCAAAATTTATGAAAGCACTCTCATCAGTCATGATGTGGGCAGATGCACCGCTGTCCACCAGTAGACCGCAGCTTTTCTTCTGACTCAAAATGGCGTCTCAATATTTCTAGGCTTTTCTTGCCGTCATCTGGTGCCTCATACAGGATGAGCGTTAACGTTTTATCGTCCAAACAACCACACAGTTGTGCATACGGGAGTTCATTTCTCCTACCGATCTCTGTAGCCTCTTGTTGATCGGCTCCCGCTGTTGGCTCACTTCCAAGGATAGCTTCTTTGAGACCGATTTTTTTTTTAAAGTTTTTAAGTATGCTAAAAACCTTGCTTCCCAAATGTGGTAGCGGGCTTCGTCTCTGTCAAACCGCGGTGGCAATCCCCTTCCGTGTACTGGCATACTCGGAACTTGTCTGGGCCCATAACCTGTTGGTTCTTCTGCAGCGGTTCTCCTACCGTTTCCACGGCAACCTCTGGGTTCTTCTGCATCATCTGCACCAGATTGCATCTCTGCTTTTACTTACTTCTCAGATAAATAGGAGACAGGAAACATTAATATCGGTTAACTGGTAATATCGGTCACACTGCCCAGCTCTGGCTGAACGCAGAGAACAAGGAGGCCCCGCCTTTATTGCTTTTTATAAACACAAACGTAACCTTCCGCTCTACAAAGTAGTGCCAAACATAAATACAATAGTGGCAAACATCATACTCAACACATTTCCACATTATGGGATAAATGAAGGATTAGCTGATGTTAGCACACTTAGATAACATGTTTTAATGGGATAAACGTACTGGGTTCTTTCTAAGTGGGCTCTAGTAACATATGACATATAAGATCTACTTTGAAAGTAGCGCTGAAAGCGCTGTAATTACACAGACTGGCACACTGGTGAATGTGCTGCAGTCAGTGCGCGCAGGAGAGAAGAAAAAGTATTGATCTTGTTAAATGAATATTGTTCAATATAAATACCAGCGTTGGTATTGATAGTATCGATCCAAGGATCGATCCGCCCAACTCTACCCAAAACCATTGGAAAACAAACCATGCAAAGAGCAGTGTTGCCAACTTAGCGCTTTAGTCGCTATATTTAGCCACTTTTCAGACCCCTCTAGCACTTTGATTTCTAAAAAGCTCCTAGCGCCAAATCTAGAGACTTTTTTCTGCTACTGGAGACTTTGGAGACAACATCTAAAAGCAGCGAACTCTGCTCTCCAGAGCGAGTAGATTGGTAACCCCGCCTCCTGCTCTCCTCTATCTTGTCTGCTGTCATGATTCATGCAGCTATTATTTCATCCAAATGAAAAATGGAGAACAGAGAAGCAGATCATGGCTTGTCTACAGTGAAAAGAAGGACTGGGTTATTTACTTTGGCCTTTTTGGAAACACAGGAAGGAGCAATCAGCTAAGTGAGCTTAGTGCTTGGAAAAAATCTTTCATTCCTTTAGAGACAGCATGAAAAGTCAGCTGAGTACAAAACATAGAGAGGAAAACAAGAAGAAAAGGGACAAGAAGAGAGGGACACAACCTAGAACAGATAATGGATGTCTATTCTATTAACATTTCTCTATCTCGAGAATGGGGCTGTTTTATGGCTTCTCCATTCAGAGGGCCCCTGCCTGTCTTTGCCCAGGGCCCCTGCCTGTCTTTGCCCAGGGCCCCTGCCTGTCTTTGCCCAGGGCCCCTGCCTGTCTTTGCCCAGGGCCCCACATTCCCTAAATCCAGCCCTGCTTGCAGGATGTGCTGTTTGTTCGTGGTTCTGGTTCTGTATCGGTCCAATCCGTCCCTCTGAGACTGACCATCTGGGTCGCTGTGATCGCTGCAGAAGCTCCAACTGAGTGTAAAAAGTGCGCTCCTCAGTGCGCATGCGCGCTGCTCTCCTCCGCTCTCCGCCCTCCAAGCCGTCAGTTCGGCTCCGTTCTCCACCTGACAGCTGATCAGAACCGGACTCCGGGCTCCCCTCCAGCGGCGGTGAGGTTCCGGGAGAACCAGCGGAGGCATGCGGCGCTGCTGATCGCTTCCCTCCCGTCTCGTCCGGATGCGCTCGGCCCGATCATGTCTGTGAGGGAGAAGGCGGTCCAGACCAAGGACAGCGTCAGCCTGCTGCCCTGCTTCTACTTTGTGGAGGTGAGTCCGGTTCCGGACGCACAGGGACCTGCTTATGTAACCGGAACCGCATCCTGCAGAACCTGGACCTGCTGGAGCTCGGTCCTGCAGAACCATGGAGCTCCATCAGAGCTCCGGTTCTGCTGCGGAGCCTCAGAGAAAGTAGGTCAGAGCAGAACCTCCCCCCTCCTTCATGCTCCACTTCTCCGCTGGCCTCTGGCTCTCCGCTACAACCGCCATCATGGTTTATATGACAGCAGCATCTCCATGGAGACCAGGTGGAGGTCTCTGTCTGCTTCCTGCTGCTCTGAGGCACCTGATCCTTCAGGTTCTACCTCACATGGATCTACCTTCAGCAGGTTCTACCTCACATGAATCTACCTTCAGCAGGTTCTACCTCACATGAATCTACCTTCAGCAGGTCCTACCTCACATGAATCTACCTTCAGCAGGTTCTACCTCACATGAATCTACCTTCAGCAGGTTCTACCTCACATGAATCTACCTTCAGCAGGTTCTACCTCACATGAATCTACCTTCAGCAGGTTCTACCTCACATGAATCTACCTTCAGCAGGTTCTACCTCACATGAATCTACCTTCAGCAGGTTCTACCTCACATGAATCTACCTTCAGCAGGTTCTACCTCACATGAATCTACCTTCAGCAGGTTCTACCTCACATGAATCTACCTTCAGCAGGTTCTACCTCACATGGTTCCACCTTCAGCAGGTTCTACCTCACATGGTTCTACCTTCAGCAGGTCCTACCTCACATGAATCTACCTTCAGCAGGTTCTACCTCACATGAATCTACCTTCAGCAGGTTCTACCTCACATGAATCTACCTTCAGCAGGTTCTACCTCACATGAATCTACCTTCAGCAGGTTCTACCTCACATGAATCTACCTTCAGCAGGTTCTACCTCACATGAATCTACCTTCAGCAGGTTCTACCTCACATGAATCTACCTTCAGCAGGTTCTACCTCACATGAATCTACCTTCAGCAGGTTCTACCTCACATGAATCTACCTTCAGCAGGTTCTACCTCACATGAATCTACCTTCAGCAGGTTCTACCTCACATGAATCTACCTTCAGCAGGTTCTACCTCACATGGTTCCACCTTCAGCAGGTTCTACCTCACATGGTTCTACCTTCAGCAGGTCCTACCTCACATGAATCTACCTTCAGCAGGTTCTACCTCACATGAATCTACCTTCAGCAGGTTCTACCTCACATGAATCTACCTTCAGCAGGTTCTACCTCACATGAATCTACCTTCAGCAGGTTCTACCTCACATGAATCTACCTTCAGCAGGTTCTACCTCACATGAATCTACCTTCAGCAGGTTCTACCTCACATGAATCTACCTTCAGCAGGTTCTACCTCACATGAATCTACCTTCAGCAGGTTCTACCTCACATGAATCTACCTTCAGCAGGTTCTACCTCACATGGTTCCACCTTCAGCAGGTTCTACCTCACATGGTTCTACCTTCAGCAGGTCCTACCTCACATGAATCTACCTTCAGCAGGTTCTACCTCACATGAATCTACCTTCAGCAGGTTCTACCTCACATGAATCTACCTTCAGCAGGTTCTACCTCACATGGTTCCACCTTCAGCAGGTTCTACCTCACATGAATCTACCTTCAGCAGGTCCTACCTCACATGAATCTACCTTCAGCAGGTTCTACCTCACATGAATCTACCTTCAGCAGGTTCTACCTCACATGGTTCTACCTTCAGCAGGTTCTACCTCACATGGTCCTACCTTCAGCAGGTTCTACCTCACATGGTTCCACCTTCAGCAGGTTCTACCTCACATGGTCCTACCTTCAGCAGGTTCTACCTCACATGGTTCCACCTTCAGCAGGTTCTACCTCACATGGTTCCACCTTCAGCAGGTTCTACCTCATATACTTCTGCCTCACATGGTTCTACCTTGCATGGTTCTACCTTCAGCAGGTTCTACCTCACATGCTTCTGCCTCACATGGTTCTACCTTGCATGATTCTACCTTCAGCAGGTTCTACCTCACATGAATCTACCTTCAGCAGGTTCTACCTCACATGGTTCTACCTTCAGCAGGTTCTACCTCATATACTTCTACCTCACATGGTTCTACCTTCAGCAGGTTCTACCTCACATGGATCTACCTTCAGCAGGTTCTACCTCACATGGTTCTACCTTCAGCAGGTTCTACCTCATATACTTCTACCTCACATGAATCTACCTTCAGCAGGTTCTACCTCACATGGATCTACCTTCAGCAGGTTCTACCTCATATACTTCTACCTCACATGAATCTACCTTCAGCAGATTCTACCTCACATGGTTCCACCTTCAGCAGGTTCTACCTCACATGGTTCTACCTTCAGCAGGTTCTACCTTCAGCAGGTTCTACCTCACATGGTTCCACCTTCAGCAGGTTCTACCTCACATGGATCTACCTTCAGCAGGTTCTACCTCATATACTTCTACCTCACATGGTTCTACCTTCAGCAGGTTCTACCTCACATGGTTCCACCTTCAGCAGGTTCTACCTCACATGGATCTACCTTCAGCAGGTTCTACCTCACAGGAATCTATCTTCAGCAGGTTCTACCTCACATGAATCTACCTTCAGCAGGTTCTACCTCACATGAATCTACCTTCAGCAGGTTCTACCTCACATGAATCTACCTTCAGCAGGTTCTACCTCACATGAATCTACCTTCAGCAGGTTCTACCTCACATGGTTCTACCTTCAGCAGGTTCTACCTCATATACTTCTACCTCACATGGTTCTACCTTCAGCAGGTTCTACCTCACATGGATCTACCTTCAGCAGGTTCTACCTCACATGGTTCTACCTTCAGCAGGTTCTACCTCATATACTTCTACCTCACATGGTTCTACCTTCAGCAGGTTCTACCTCACATGGATCTACCTTCAGCAGGTTCTACCTCACATGGTTCTACCTTCAGCAGGTTCTACCTTCAGCAGGTTCTACCTCACATGGTTCTACCTTCAGCAGGTTCTACCTCACATGAATCTACATTCAGCAGGTTCTACCTCACATGGTTCTACCTTCAGCAGGTTCTACCTCACATGGTTCTACCTTCAGCAGGTTCTACCTCAAATGGTTCCACCTTCAGCAGGTTCTACCTCACATGGTTCTACCTTCAGCAGGTTCTACCTCACATGGTTCTACCTTCAGCAGGTTCTACCTCACATGGTTCCACCTTCAGCAGGTTCTACCTCACATGGTTCTACCTTCAGCAGGTTCTACCTCACATTTTTCTACCTTCAGCAGGTTCTACCTCACATGGTTCCACCTTCAGCAGGTTCTACCTCACATGGTTCTACCTTCAGCAGGTTCTACCTCACATGGTTCTACCTTCAGCAGGTTCTACCTCACATGGTTCTACCTTCAGCAGGTTCTACCTCACATTGTTCTACCTTCAGCAGGTTCTACCTCACATGGTTCTACCTTCAGCAGGTTCTACCTCACATGGTTCTACCTTCAGCAGGTTCTACCTCACATGGTTCTACCTTCAGCAGGTTCTACCTCACATGGTTCCACCTTCAGCAGGTTCTACCTCACATGGTTCCACCTTCAGCAGGTTCTACCTCACATGGTTCTACCTTCAGCAGGTTCTACCTCACATGGTTCTACCTTCAGCAGATTCTACCTCACATGGTTCTACCTTCAGCAGGTTCTACCTCACATGGTTCTACCTTCAGCAGGTTCTACCTCACATGGTTCTACCTTCAGCAGGTTCTACCTCACATGGTTCTACCTTCAGCAGGTTCTACCTCATATACTTCTACCTCACATGGTTCTACCTTCAGCAGGTTCTACCTCACATGGTTCTACCTTCAGCAGGTACTACCTTCAGCAGGTTCTACCTCACATGGTTCTACCTTCAGCAGGTTCTACCTCACATGAATCTACCTTCAGCAGGTTCTACCTCACATGGTTCTACCTTCAGCAGGTTCTACCTCACATGGTTCTACCTTCAGCAGGTTCTACCTCACATGGTTCCACCTTCAGCAGGTTCTACCTCACATGGTTCTACCTTCAGCAGGTTCTACCTCACATGGTTCTACCTTCAGCAGGTTCTACCTCACATGGTTCTACCTTCAGCAGATTCTACCTCACATGGTTCTACCTTCAGCAGGTTCTACCTCACATGGTTCTACCTTCAGCAGGTTCTACCTCACATGGTTCTACCTTCAGCAGGTTCTACCTCACATGGTTCTACCTTCAGCAGGTTCTACCTCACATGGTTCTACCTTCAGCAGGTTCTACCTCACATGGTTCTACCTTCAGCAGGTTCTACCTTCAGCAGGTTCTACCTCACATGGTTCTACCTTCAGCAGGTTCTACCTCACATGAATCTACCTTCAGCAGGTTCTACCTCACATGGTTCTACCTTCAGCAGGTTCTACCTCACATGGTTCTACCTTCAGCAGGTTCTACCTCACATGGTTCCACCTTCAGCAGGTTCTACCTCACATGGTTCTACCTTCAGCAGGTTCTACCTCACATGGTTCTACCTTCAGCAGGTTCTACCTCACATGGTTCCACCTTCAGCAGGTTCTACCTCACATGGTTCTACCTTCAGCAGGTTCTACCTCACATGGTTCCACCTTCAGCAGGTTCTACCTCACATGGTTCTACCTTCAGCAGGTTCTACCTCACATTGTTCTACCTTCAGCAGGTTCTACCTCACATGGTTCTACCTTCAGCAGGTTCTACCTCACATGGTTCTACCTTCAGCAGGTTCTACCTCACATGGTTCTACCTTCAGCAGGTTCTACCTCACATTGTTCTACCTTCAGCAGGTTCTACCTCACATTGTTCTACCTTCAGCAAGTTCTACCTCACATGGTTCTACCTTCAGCAGGTTCTACCTCACATGGTTCTACCTTCAGCAGGTTCTACCTCACATGGTTCCACCTTCAGCAGGTTCTACCTCACATGGTTCCACCTTCAGCAGGTTCTACCTCACATGGTTCTACCTTCAGCAG